ACTAACTAAAAATAACTATAATAAAATATAAGAAAAACTTAGAAAAAATATCAAATACTTAAAATAATAATAATAAAAAATAATAAGAAACTAGTATAAACTAATAAAATATAATAATAATAACTATAAAAAAGAGAGAAAAAGAAAATTCTATTACAATGTTATTTTTTACAAAGCCAATGCTAATATTGTTTGCGCAAAATTGGTACTATATTTTATAGTTAGCATGTTACTCGTTATAATATTCTTATCCTTAAGCAACAACACAGAAATAATACACGTAGATGAAACAAATACCACATATAAAACAAATACCACATTAAAAAAATTGGTGAATAAGCTTAAAATCAAGCCTACAAATCTTTTAGAATGGAAATAAAGGCATTACTTAACAGGTTATTAAAATAAAAATTAGATAAAAATATATATAATATCGGGACAATAATATGGTCGAGTGGATATACACCACCTCAAGTATAATAATAATGGAACCTTAATGAATTGTATTTAGAATATGACTAAGTTAGATAATTTAATGCCTGAAGAGTTTAGAATGGCTGATGGTTTATTTTGCATAGATTGGCAAATACTACCAAAGATAAAATCATGGGAAGGACTAAAGTTTATACAATTAGTAATTAAACTTTACTTTACTTGTCTGTGGTGTATTAATTTTATAAAAAGATAGGATTTTTGATCAACAGTTGATGAAAATTCTGATATGCCTACAAGTTACATTCAATCAAATCCTTGAATGGCAAACAAAAGAACCTTTTAACTTAAAAAATCTCAACGAAAACTCAACAATTGTTTCCTTCATTGCTTCACACTGGACTGATTTCCGTAAAGATTGGGTTCCAAAGCTTCAAGCTTACATTTATATTGCATCTTTTGGTAAAGTTCATCATAATACTGATTGGGATATTCACTCTGAATGTGCTACTTTTAAAAGAAATACTATGTACTATTTTGAAGATTTTAATGCAAAGAATTGTATTATCTCAAAATACCCTTTTTATCTGGCTATTGAAAATTTACAAGAAAAAAATTATTCTTCTAAAAAACTTTGGGATTTGTTTAAATTAGGAGCAGTGCTTATTATATAGGTGCACCTAATATTTGCTCATACGTACCGCATCCCACATCGGCCATTTTTATTGAAGATTATTTAAATATCAAAGATATTTAAAATACTTGGTTAAAAATAAGACAGCCTATTTAGAATATTATCAATGCGGACTATGGAAAATTGGTCAGAGGGATTTGAGAGGAAGGCGTATATAAGCATGATTAATATAAAATGCAATATTTGTAAAGAAGTTGCTAGATTAAGAATAATAAAAGGATAATTGTAGTGTATTACACTTTATAAATTATATGATATCATTTAATAAAATCACTAATTAACTTTTTTGAAAATAAAAACTTTGTCTTTAATTATATTTTATGTCAAAATTATTGAATAGCAGCTGATGGTAGAATTAATTATGACATAGCATCCGAATTAGTGATGAAGAGAGATTATTGCAAAAATAATCCCACAATTGTTTTTTAATTTCACAACATTATCATTATGAATTAGTAATTACACGATTTATAAGACAGTAATTTTGTTTCCCTGTACCCTATGGCAGCGGGAATGAGAAAATATTTAGGCATGCCCTTAGGGGCATGCCTCAGGCTAAGGCATGCCCCTAGGGCATGCCCTTTATATATTAATTATATAAAATTTCTACTTTATTATGTATTACTAAAAGTAATTAATATACAAAAGTAGAATATTAATAAAGATAAATGTAAATCATATAATGAATTAATTATAGCAATAAATTTTGGTATAATAAAGCTCAATAGCCTTAAACATTATATTAAAAAAAGTATTACTAAATCAATAATTTTGTATAAGAAAAACTGAACTATATTTATTATAATAGCCAATCAGAGAGTATAGTATCACATAATCAATCGCTTTTAATTATATGATAGAGGCATACCTTTTAGCTCAAAGGCATGCCCATGGACCCCGTGCCCGCCACCCTACTGTACCCACAAGTTTTATAGAAACTGTAAAAGTAAAAGTAATAAAAATTATAGGGGAGTTTACAAATAAGGGCCCGGAAAGTGAAAATAATTCAAATACAGGTCCAAATTAAAAATAATTACATATAAGGGCCTAATTTTTAAAAATATTACATATAAGGGTCCAAAATAACCGTGACGCTATTCACACCTGTGGCTTGATCGTTATTAGTATAAGAAACGACATCGATTGTAAATTAGTAATTATAAATGAGAAAAGAAATTCTTTTAAATTTAATAAATTTAATTTTCTTTGTATAAAGTTGCTTATTGTTATAACAAACCACTATGATGTCAAGTAAAACATTGTGAATTGGCATGTCATTTACTAATATGGAAGATGTTCGTTCAGTTTTAGAAAGCTACTCTGTTGAAATTTCGCCTTAAGAATAATTGTTGCTAGTTTAATGCTATTTTTATGCAATTTTAAGCGAAAACGATTATAACTAGCACTTCATTTATCCGTTATCTAATAATCAGTATATATATAACTCTAAATGTCTACGTATAATAATCGCGATTTTGCTATTGTTATAAGTCTGTGATCTGTTTTTTCAGTCATCAATAGATTTGGGCCTTTATATGTAATATTTTTTAAAAAAATTAGGCCCTTATATGTAATTATTTTTAATTTGGGCCCGTATTTGTAATTATTTTTAATTTGGGCCCGTATTTGTAATTATTTTCACTTTCCGGGCCCTTATTTATGAATTCCCCATATTTAATGCTAATACGTAACCGCCATTTTTTCTATTTAAAGTTTTGTGTGATCACAACGCATTATACTATATACCATATTTAACTGCCGAAAGAGACTGAAATCTCAAATTCAAAAAAAAAAACAGTCGACTCATGTTCATCAAATAAAACGCATAATGAAATTTAAGCCCAAGTTCTTTCCCGACCCCTAGCACATTGTCTTTGAATGCAAATTTCGATTATCTTCACATATTTTCCCTGAGGAGACGCACCTGGTGGGTGTTGGATATATATCCTTTTTGCGCATTCAGCGCTTTGTAACTCAGGTGTTCGTACGTACAGTACTGACCACATGTACAGTCCTACGTACGTACGTACGCAACTTTAATGTAACAGATCCATTTAAATTCTTATTGGCATTTATAAATAGATTAATCTCCTTATTAATTCGTAATTTTTCCATTTTAAGACGTTGATTTAAGACATTGTTATCGTCACCAAAGTACGTATGTATGTAAAATCTGAAATTTATCAGTTACTATACTTATTACCCCATTATGAAATCAAAAAGTTGATCGTATTACAATGCGCGTACGTACTACACATATAAACATGATAAAAAATAAAAACCAACTTTCCTATTTCCTTTGTCGAATAATTATAAATTTGGTTAACTCACTTGACATAGGAAGTCATTTTGAAAAAAAATGGCTGATTCGTTAGAAGGATTAGAAGAATGGAACAGACAAATTGAAAAAGCAATCTCCAAGAATGAATCGATTATTAAAGCTTTCAAATTCGAAAAATTTAGCATCATTGGTAAAATTGGTGAAGGTGGTTTTGGAACCGTTCGTAAAGCTAGGTGGGATGATTGTGGAATGGATGTTGCTCTAAAGAAACTTAAAGTTGAAGAGCTTGATGAAAAGATGATTAAATCATTCATTGAAGAGGTATTATTAGTATTGCGGAGAAATTAGATTATAACTCCGAAATGTATTACCATATTTAATAAATTATATATCATTTGTAGCTTACATTGAATCGAAAAGTTGCACCTCATCCTAATATAATAGAGTTTTACGGGATTGTAAAAGGTATTATTACTCGATTAATTAACTATAAAATGAAATAAACTAACATAAATTCTTGCATAGATTTCAATGGGTCTTACAATATGGTCTTACAATTTGCCAAGGATGGAAACTTGAGACAATACCTGAAAAAAAACTTTGATGGTCTTCAATTTGATGATAAATTACGTATTGCTCGGGAAATAACGCTTGGACTTGCATATCTACATGCTAATAACATTGTTCATCGTGATTTAGTAAGATAATTAAATCTTCAATTCAAGAGTTAAATGGTTTAAATGTACTTATGCAATTAGTCTTTTTTATATAAATTTATTTATTTATTTATAGCATTCTAAAAACATCTTAGTTGATGATGGAAAAACGAAGATTGCAGATTTCGGTTTAGCTAAAGAAACTAATGAGAAGCTACCTTCAACTGCAACTACATCTGTCATTCATGGGATGCCTGCTTATATAGGACCTGAATGCTTTAACAATCCTAGGAACAGACGTGATAAAAAATCCGATATCTACAGCCTTGGTGTAATTTTCTGGGAAATTTCAAGTGGAAGACAACCATTTGAGTCATATCAGCATTATCAAATTGCTATTAGCATACATGGAGGCGCAAGAGAAGAACCTGTGGAAGGCACACCTTCTTATTATGTTGAACTTTACAAACAATGTTGGGATGGAGAACCAAATAAACGCCCAAACGTAAAGTACGTTATTGATACCTTGGATAAATATGTTTCTGCAAAAGATAATAATTCACTGTCTGATGATGATAATAATAAGAATAATAGTAACAATAGCAGTAATAATCAGAGAAATAATAGCAGTAAAAATAGCCACGGTGCTTCTAGTACAAACAGCACAAGTCTTTTAATACCTGATAATATTAATGACGATGTGGATGATGATGCGAATAACGATGTAATTATCGAGAAGAATGATGGAACAGGTTTTGAAATAGGTAATAAGGTGACCACCGAAAAGAAGGGTTATGAAGCAAATATTAATGTGAATGATAAGGAGAACAATGATGTAATCACCGAGGAGGAGAACAATGAAGCAGATAATGAAGCTAATAATTATGAGAATACCGAAGAGAGGAGCGATAAGGCAAATGTTGAAGCGATTAGTAATAATAAAAATAGTAGTAATGTGATAGATCGAGACCATTTTTCACTGATTTCAAAGTGGATTGATGGGATTGATGAAATTGACGAGGATCCTCCCAAACAAGACAAGTCAACTAATTCATATCAATTTAAATTACTTATCAGAGGAACTGACGATGGATTCGATGCACCAACGTTTCATCAAAAATGTGATGACCAAGGTCCGACTTTAGTCGTTTTGAGAGTCAAAGGCAAAGATGAAATTTTGGGTGGTTACAATCATTTAAGTTGGAATCGTAAGAAGAAAATAAATGTTATAAATCAAAAAACAAATAAAAGTTTTATTTTTGCTCTGGATAAGAACGATATAGCGAAATCTAAAATAAGTCGACCTACCAAATCTATATTATCATTCAATCTTTCGAAAAAATACGGATTACATTTTGCTCGAGATTTATGTTTAAATAAGGATTTTAAAGAAGATTGTAAAAATTTTTGCAAACAGCTTGTTTATGATAAATCAATTAGAGACTCTAAAGATTATTTTTCTGTAGAAGAATATGAAGCTTATCGAGTAATCCCAAATGATTTGAATCAGTGATGCAGACATAACGTTTTATTATGTTTTTAGGCTTTGTTAAATGATAAAACTGAATTTTAATATACTGTATATTATAGTTAAAACTTTTCAAATAAAAAAAAATAAATCTAGTTATAACTTTAGTCAAAAATATTGATTAAAATTGAGAATCGCTATTTTCACCCCCATTTTTGCTAATGCCACCCCAGATATCAAAAAGTGCTCCGGAAGAGATATTTTTATTAAGTAAACCCTTATTTTGATTTTATAAAAGTTGTTCATCAGGCCTTTCTGGTTCTAATGGTAGTAAAATCTTTACACTCAGACTTAGTGCTCGGCAAAATCAAACAACTCGATTATCAAGTTTTTGAATCTATCGATTTATAGTATTGCAATTATAAAATCTATTTTTACTCTAATCTGACTTTAAACTTCATGTTAGGTATTATGAAGTCTAAAGTAAGATCGGATTCCTGTTAGATTTATATATGTATTAAAAATAAATTTTGTATTTAATGCCCAATATTGTAAATTGATAGATTCAAAAATTTGATAATTGAGCTTTTGTTTGATTTTGCTAAGCACTACTCAGACTAGTAGTTCCTAAAATATATATATCTGAAGTTATTTAACTTTCATTTACTTTTAAAAAAAAACTATCAGTTTGATTTTAATGATTTTACTATGATTAGAACCAGAAAGGCCTGATCAATTTTTATTAAAATCAAAAGAAAAGGTTTCTTAATAATAATACCTTTTTCAGAGCACTTTTTTTAAATTTTGGGGGTGGTATTAGCAAAAATAGAAAAATAGCAATTCTCTTAAAATTAAACTATCAATATTATCAAATTTAAAGTCAACCTTTTTTTTTAAAAAAAAAAATTTGGCAGTCTTGCCTCTACTTTATTAGGCTTTATAATATTATACTATAAAATATTAAAAAAATTTTCAAGAGGCTATTCCTCTTGACACCTAAATTACAAGTATTAGCTCACTTGGTTATTCAATGAACACCTATGTGCAACCTGCTATAGTAAGGTTTACCTCCATATTAACTTGTCCTACACTTGGATTCATTAATACTTCAATAAAAGGTTCTTATAGTCTGTCAAGACTACTAATTGCTTTTCCACCAATCCGCATGTTGACCATCTATAATCCAACTTGACACCTTATTTTTCACTATTTCTAATACTGTAATCTATCTTTCACTTTATTCTTTTTTTCCACTTTTTTGTTCAAATGATTTGTCAGATACAGTTTTCTTTCCGTTTCTAGTCTTCTTTTTTTTCTTTCTTCCTTGCTTAGTTTTTGGAGTGGCATTCTTCTTTTTTTGAGCACTATACCATTTTCTTTCTCCTATTTCTGTATGAGCTTGCATCTGGGAATCTATATTGTTTTATGTATCCTCTTTATCTAGTTTTTTCAGAGCTAGATTATGAAACTTTTTGCTTGGTTGTTAGAGTTGAAAAATAATCAGATCTCTATTTGTAATAAGATTTTTAATTTATCTTTCTCTTCTTCTCAGCTTTTCAGATATACTTTCTTTTTCTAACATTACTAGAATGCCTTCTTTTTTCTTGCTTGTGTCGCTTTCTTTTTCAAGCTTTTTTAGAATTAGCTCTAATTCTTGTTCTTCTATATCATGCAGTAATCTAAGTGATACTTTACAGCTAACTAGATGTTCAACATTCTTAGTTTTCTTTTTACACACTACACACTTATCTGTTTTATAAATGTCTAGTTTTTTCTGACTTAGCCTTTTAAATACTAGTAGTAGTGTTACAATGCTATAGCCTTCTTAGTCACTATGTAGCAAGATAACAAGATTAGAGATCCTACTATTGAGTAGAAGTGGAGTGTACTCTAATTTTCACTAACTAGAGGCAATGGTTCAGTATAAGGTCAGTATATAATTAAATACTTTATTTATTATAGATCAAGGAGGATAATCTCACTTACTAGAATTACTCTAGAGGAAATATATCACACTATACAAGACAAGAAGTATAAGAAGGCAGGCTAGATTCTATAAGAGAGTAGAGAATTCTCTAACTACCATATATTCCTGAAAATAAGCTACTCTGAAAATAAGCTATTTTCTCTTTTCTTGGAAAAGAAACATAAGAAACTTTTTATTCTAAAAATAAGCTACTCCTGATAATTTTTAAAATTTAGAAGTAGTTTATATATATAAAAGTCAAAATTATACTAAGTAAATCGATAAAAGTCACTTAATAGAAGTTGTTCAGAATGTAAAAATACACATATTCTAAAAGTTTTAAGCAAATCAGAAAACTTTTTAGAGCAGTGTCATTTATTATCTGATTTTTTTTTATCAAAGGTTTATCTCCCTAGTTTTTAATATATAAATTATCAGGTCTTATATATAAAATTTCAAATTTTTTAACCCCCCAGAAAATCATCTGATAATTGTCAGCTCCCTTACTAAGATGTTTTTGTATTTTATATTCAAACATAAAATGCAAAAACATCTTAGTAAAAAGTTCTTCGATTTGCTTGAAACTTTAAAATATGTGTATTTTTACATTCTGAACAACTCCTATTAAGTGACTTTTATCGATTTACTTAGTATAAATTTGACTTTTATATATAGAAACTACTTTTGGATTTTAAAAAATAATAAAAAATCAACTTTTTGAAATTGTATCCAAAAATAAGCTACCTCTATGATTTTTATATCACTTTTTTGCCCAAAAAAGATAGCTTATTTTCAGAAATATATGGTAACTCTATGTTGAGTAGAAGAGACAAAAGCTCTCTTTTTATAATTTTTCTATATATAGAAAGTGTTACAGAATAATTGCCAAACTGTGTAGAGATACTATATAAGAAATACTCATATAGAGATACTGAGAAATATCTATATGAAGATACTAAGAGGTATTTGTATAGAAGTATTGAGAGGTACTTGTGTGGAGGTACTAAGAGGTACTTGTGTGGAGGTACTAAGAGGTACTATATTTTCACCAAAATAAGCTATTTTTTAAAATAAACTACTTCCCTCTTTTATGCAAAAACCTAAAAATCTCTTTTACCCTTCTGAATTTTTTAAAAATTTTTAAACAGTTACTATATACAAAAGTCAAAATTGTAATAAGTAAATATATGTTAAATTCTTAATGAAAGTTGTTCAGAATATAAAAATACATATATTTAAAAAATTTTATACAATTTGGATAACTTTTTATTAATATATTTTTGCATTTTAAGTTCAAAATTTATATGCAAAAATATACTAATAAAAAGTTATTTAAATTGTATAAAAATTTCAGAATATGTGTATTTTTTATTTTGAACAACTTTTATTAAGTTCAAAACATATATTTATTTAGTACAATTTTGACTTATATATATCCCTTAATTGGTAGAGATTTGCAGACAAATTTGCTTGCATAATTACTATAAATATGTCTCCGATCTACTTTTTTAATTATTTAAAATATTTAAATAAAATTTAACATGATAATATTTGAAAATAAGGATTATATTTTT